CAGTTCCTTTCTTTTTTTATGAATGTCAAATTTCAAGACTTGAATTTTTTCAGCAATCAAATTTATTTTCACTATGTTGTTGGAAACTTAGAAATTGGCTCATCTAATTAATCTCTCTTTTCATTTTAGCTTCAAAACAGAATGACAATCAAATGAATTCAAGTCTAAATAAAAGATAAAGCTGGTTTTAGTGTTTTCCCTTTTTTCAGTTCCTCGTATGTTTTGGTTTAGGTTATTTTTCCTTATATCTTGGATATTAAATCATAGTTGAAAGATGGCCAAGAAAAAATCAAAAAAAATATTAAGGATTAATTTTCCTTTTGTAGCCCAAAGAACAAGGAGGTTAGAAAAGAAGAAGTTGGTTTTCTGGAGATTAGAAAGTTGTCATCCATGCATTTTGGGAAGACTCATTGATTGCTCAACATATAAATTGCTGCTGAAATGGTGGGAATGGCAATAGCACTTGAAATGGCTTCTTCACTATGCTTGGCCTACCGCAACTAACCTTGCATAGTCCTTAAAGCTACAAAACAAGCTCCTTCACTAATAACATTCCACAATTTTACTCCTGTTCATCATCATAGCCAAGTAGCCAACAATGATATGTGCTTCTGCTTATGCTTTTGCCACCATTGATGCTAATAAGAAGCTTAGGAGCACTGATTTGGTGGCTCTTGAGTATGCTGATCTTAACCTCAAAAATTTTCTGGGTATGTTCTTACAATCATCTAGTTCCCTCTTATTACAGTGATAGTTTCTTATCCCATGCAATTTGGCATGGTATTTGTTATGTTTATACCTTCATATGAATGAAATGAAAAGAAGGCAGATGAATTTTTTTCTCTCTTTTTTTCCATACTGAAGTTATGGTTTTTGTTTTAATATAACACAAGGAATTAGGTCATGTAAGAATCAAGCCACATCTTCAATCTTTTGCTCTAAGTTTTAATTCCTCGTATGATCATTTTTTTGATTGAATATAAATGTTTTAATTATGGTTTTGCTGTTGTTGTTGTCACAATTAGAATAAGATATGATATTGTCATTTTGTGCGTAGATCCTAGCACCGGTACCTAATCAGAATCAAGTATTAAAGGGACACAACATTGCCACTATTGGTAAATAAATGTCGGAAGTGGTGATCCCTTTGTCCTTCCTTCCATTTCATCTGATTCATTTAATACATATGCAGTTTTTGTTCCTTAATGAGTGAAGTTGTTTTGAAGCTGTGAGATGGTCCAACTTTCTAGCTATTACATTTTATTTTGGTTAGCAGCACATTTCCTATATGGCTTGCAAAATGAAACCTGATTCATGAAACTATTGGGGACTGAAAATATATATGACAGGATGGGATCAAGCTCTTTGGACTAGTTCTAATTCACTCAAGAATTCTTCTGATTGAGTTAATGTACATTTTCTTGATCTTCATTTTTTCATTTTTTTGTTACATTATATAGACAGTTTCTTTGACATAATCATGTTGTTTAATTGCCCAACAGCTGGTTCTGGTTCTGTGTGTTGAGTTCTGTGTAAAAGAGCTGGCTCTAAGTAAGATATAAAGCTTAAACCTACCCTCTTCTATTTGATAAAATGCTTTATTTTAGATCTAATGATGGATGACTTGAACGGTATTGCAGGCATTTCATTTTTGCAAATGTTTTAGTTTCCATTAAATGATTGGTATCCACTCATCCTGGACCCTTGATGCTCATTTCATTCTAGGTTAGTGTAGTTCTGGTACTACAAAGATCAATTTACCTTTTAATTGTTGGTTAAATGAAAATAGAATTGTGCTATATGCAGTGCCTGCATCCTCATTTCAAGAAAAGGCATCATAAAGAAGGGTTCTGAAGAACCCTTTATTGGATTCAATTAAAATAAGTGGATTCCTAAGGAAAGGTAAGTTGTGAGATGTGCTTACTTTCTACGAGTTGCAAAATTTTATTGTTTTCACATCTGATCTTGTCTAAAATTGTTATCAGCTGATGCATGTTTGTCATTATTCGCTCAACATACATTAAGAACCGAGAACCTTGTTGCTCATCCAGATCTAAAGGGAGTTAGTGAGGAAATTGTTAAAAGGTACAAAGTATAGCAGCATCTGTTTCTCAAGGAATGAAGCTGTCTCAATTCACAAACTTATTATGATTTGGAAATCTAGTTTCAATTGCATATTTGCTTTGAGGTTTATATGTAGGTAACTGAATGCTATTTGTCTGGTGAAAATGAGCATATATATCCTTGATATTTTCTTATGGCTATTGGAATACTCTATAAATCCATTAAAAGAAGACTGTACTCTCCCTTGGCCATAAGGTAGGAGAGGGAACTGTTGTTCCAAGTGAGCCCCATTTTGATTAAAACATAAGCACATTCTCAAATGAGTCAAATAAGAGTCATGGCTTTTATTTCAATTCAAATCCTGACAACTAACGACTTTGTAAAAAAATGATATGGATCTTTTTATTTGAAATTTCATAATCCTCCAAAAGAGTAGAATAGATATTGCCCCTAAAAAGCACTTCAGTAATCCCAAATGCGAATGGTAAAGATAGGGCAACAACAGCTAAAAATGCCCTCCCTAACGTATAATTCCTTGTAGCAACGTCACAAGATGAGGCTGGTCTTTTTGTTGACATGAAAATGTAGATAAAATGACATTTTAGGCTTGAAATAAATTATTGGAATGGTATATATTCCATATAGACGAACTCTTTCCAAAAACATAATCAAAAGATTCCTTTTGTAAGAAAACGATCCTACATAAAATATTGTTGTTGGTTGAGTGTGCATCTTGGTAGAGTTCATGGGGGCATGCTATTTATTTATGGTGGGGCATTTCAACTGCAGTCTATATGGGAGTGCAGAATCATTTCATACATGGAGGACTTGTAGGCAACAACTAGCTATTTAGTGAGGCATGGCAAGTAATATGGTTTGCAACAATTTGAACATTATGGCCATGGAGAAATTAACAAGCTTTTGGCACTAAATGAAATAGTCTAGAAGAGCTGATTGACTGTCCAGTAGAGGTCTTATTATTGACCAAGAGTTGGATTAATTAGCAACCTATCCTTGGAAGCTTGGAGGAGTTTGGTTCTGTTTACGGTGGCTTCTACACTACTAAATTTTCTATTTTCAGCAACATGCTTTCATGTTGCTGAAACTCTTTCAGCAACATGCCTCTAGTTGCTAAAACCTTTGTTGGAAATGCCTTGGTGGGTGATACATTAGCAACATGAAGCTTGTTGGTGATGTATCAGCAACATGAGGCACATTGCTGAAAATATAGTTTCAACAACATGCCTTATATTGCTAAAAATTTTACCAAATTCCGGTAGAAAGCCGGCCAATGTTTTGAATTTTTTTAGCAATATAAGCCACGTTGCTAAAACTAAAATTTCAGCAACGTGGCTTATGTTGCTGAAAGTTTAAGGGAAATGGTGGTTTTTCTAGGTGGTTTTCCTATTCCATTTTCAGCAACAAGAGCCACGTTGCTGAAAGTTTAGGAATAGTACATCCCCTATTTTTTAGCAACGTAGGCCTTGTTGCTAATATTTATTTGCATACTATTTGTTGATATTAATTAACTATATTAATAAATTCTAGCTTAATTAATGCAAATTAAATAACATTAATTAATTAATGTCTTATTATGTAT